CGGGGAGCAGTGGCACACCCAGCGGACCTGCCACGTGGGCGAGGGGAGCTGCACGGAGCTGAGCGGACGGGAGGGCGGGGGCAGGCGCTGGCTCCTCAGGTGGGTGGGCCTCCGACCCCCAAAAGGAGGGCGATGTGAGTGTGGGGGAGAGGGGGGAGGGCTCCATCCCGCTCTGCCCACCTGCCCTGCCAGGGACCCACCAACCGCAGCCAGCAGCCCTCGGCCAGCCGTGGGGGCACGGCCAGGCGGGCGGAGATGGCCAGGCCGGAGAGGAAGGGCCCTGAATTAATCTGTCATGAGGCTGGGCCGTGGCAGGCGCCGTCATGATTTAGATGAATAATTGAAACGCTCCGATACATTTATTATCCCTTTAGTGCGCAAGTGGCAGAGAAAGACGAGGGGTAATTGAAAAAGCGCGCACAAATCTCGGCGAGAAAGCCGGCTGCTTATCGCCAAGCAAACATTTCAGTCCTAATAAACAGAGGGACACGCGTCAGGGCCCTGTCGATCCGGCCTGATTTAGGGCCCGCCTCCCTTCTTACCATACAATGAGAGTGTTTAAAAATATTATTTTTCCGAGACAGTAAAAGGCTCTCCGAGGGAGGACGGGGGTGGGGGGGGGGGAAGAGGAGGAGGGAGGAGGGAGGGGGGAGGGGGAGGGGGGAGGAGGGAGGAGGGAGGAGGGAAAAGGGAGGAGGAAAGCTGGGAGGCTGAGAGGCTGTCAGGACGTGGCCCTCTGCCTGGGGGCCTCTGCCCTGCCCTCTGTGCCTGTGGGGCCTTTGGGGCCGGAGTCCGATGCCCCCTCTGCTGGGAAGCTTCCACCAAAAGGAGAGAAGGCACAGCTCTTTGAGGGCAGAACCCAGTGCTGACTCCCTCCCCCAAACACACGCTCAGGAGGAGCCCCGGAAGGAGGGGAGGAGGGGTGCCCAGTCTCACTGTCCCAGAACCACCGGAGTCAAAGCTGCACACCTGGCGTGGCCCCCGGGCCTGGGGGGAGGCCCAGGAGCCTGGACCCTCTGGGGGGGTCTTTTGGCCCCAGCGACCTGGGGGGACTTTCCCTGAGGTTGGGGTGCCCGGCAGTGGACATGGGGCTGTTGCACCCCGCTCCGCAGGCCCGCCCCGGCTCCTAGAGGCCCCCTCGGGGCTGCCAGCTGCCCAGGGCATGAGACAGGGCCCAGCACAGAGCAGCCACCCACCGCCCCACACGGTGCCCAGAACCCCGCTCCTGGGAAAGAACCTTCCAGCGGGACACAGGCAACGAGAAAAACACAAGACAGAGTCCGTTCGGGGTCAGCGCCGCGCGGGGAAGGCACAGCCGTGGGAGGAGCCATCTGAACGGCGGCCGAAGGGACTCGGGCTTGTTACATGCCCGGACGGCTGGGCAGGTGGGCGGGTGGTGATGGAGATGGATGGGTGGGCGGGTGGTGATGGGAAATGGATGGGTGGGCGGGTGGTGGTGGGAGGACGGTGGTTAGATGGGTGGATGGCTGGGCAGGTGGGCGGGTGGTGATGGAGATGGATGGGTGGGCGGGTGGGTGGTGATGGGAAATGGATGGGTGGGCGGGTGGTGATGGGAGGACGGTGGGTAGATGGGTGGACAGCTGGGCTGGTGGGTGGGTGGTGATGGGAGGAGGGTGGGTAGATGGGTGGATGGCTGGGCAGTGGATGGGTGGTGAAGGGAGATGGATGGGTGGGTAAAAGGGTGGTAACAGGAGACTTGGGGGTGGATAGAGGCCTGAACCCCTCCTGGTGGGAACTTCAGGGGACCCCATGGGGAGGCTGGGGTCCATCTGGGCGGCATCAGGTAGGGACCTGGCCCCCAGCCCCGGCTGCTCCTCCCCAGTGGGCTAAGGGGGTGGACCTGGCCTGACCAGGGTGGTGAGGGCACAGGGGACAGAGGTGAAGGCAGAGATGTCCCGGCACAGGGCACCCTCTCCCTCTTGGCCCAGCCTCACCCCTGTCCTGGTCCTCTCCCCCCCCTCCACCTGCTCCAATCACATTAGTGGAGTGACAGCCCAGCCTCCCTCCTGCCCTGGTCCTCTCCCCCACCTCCACCTGCTCCAATCACATTAACGGAGTGACAGCCCAGCCTCACCCCTGCCCTGGTCCCTCCCCCCGCCCCCACCTGCTCCAATCACATTAGCGGAGTGACAGCCCGGCGAGTGCCGGCAGCTCCATCAATCTCCGCGGCGCTAAAAGGCTGGACTCCGGGCCCACTTCCTCCCGGGCCCCCTCACCCCATCCATCTCCACGTCAGTCAGGCCGCACCGGGGGCTGCCCAGCCTCCCCTCGCCCTCGGTGACGCAGGAATGGGGGTTAGAGGGACCCCAACATGCCTCCCTCCTTAGGCTGGCCAGAGCAGGTGCCCTTTGACCTCCGGGAGTGAGGCCACCAGGCCACCCATGAGCCACACCCGCCGGGCCCGGAACCGCAGTGGCTGCCCTGCCCCGGTGGGCACCTCAGCCTCCCGCCTGCACCGCGGGCCGTTCACTCGCTCCCGGCCGCTCCCTGGGCACCTGCTCCCGGCGGCGGCCGCTCCGCTGGAGACAGTCCTGCCTCCGAGCCTCTGTTCTCCGGCAGACAGACCTCAAACGGAGCACCGTCCACGGGAGGCTGTCTGGCTGGGGAGGGAGAGGAGCCGACGGGAAAGGAAACTGGGAGCCCTGTGAGGGCCTGGGAGGCGGGGCGGGTGGCTGCGATTTCACGTAGGGGTGAGGGGGCCTCGGAGAAGGGGGTGTGAGCTGGGGTGGTAGAGGGGAAGGGAGCAGCTGTGTCTGTCTGAGGAGCGGACTGGGCAGAGAGCTCAGCATGCGAAGGCCCCGGGGCAGGTGTGGGTGCAGAGCAGGGAGGGCCGGGCGGTGTGGTGGGGACCTGAGGGGTCTGGGGGCCGGTGTGGCAGAGCGGGGAGGGCCGGGCAGTGTGTGGAGGCCGGTGTGGCAGAGCGGGGAGGGCCGGGCGGTGTGTGGAGGCCGGTGTGGCAGAGTGGGGAGGGCCGGGCGGTGTGGTGGGGACCTGAGGGGTCTGGAGGCCGGTGTGGCAGAGTGGGGAGGGCCGGGCGGTGTGTGGAGGCCGGTGTGGCAGAGTGGGGAGGGCCGGGCGGTGTGGTGGGGGCCTGAGCGGTGTCTGGGGGCCGGTGTGGCAGAGTGGGGAGGGCCGGGCGGTGTGGTGGGGACCTGAGGGGTCTGGAGGCCGGTGTGGCAGAGCGGGGAGGGCCGGGCGGTGTCTGGGGGCCGGTGTGGCAGAGCGGGGAGGGCCGGGCGGTGTGTGGAGGCCGGTGTGGCAGAGCGGGGAGGGCCGGGCGGTGTGTGGAGGCCGGTGTGGCAGAGCGGGAAGGGCCGGGCGGTGTGGTGGGGGCCTGAGCGGTGTCCGGGGAGCAGGGACCAGGGCTCTGATGGAGGTGAGAGCCCTGGCAGCGTTTTGAGCGGAAGAGGGGTGTGACCTGACCTAGGAGTTAGAAGGCCCGCTGTTTCTGTGATCCTTGTCTTTGGACACAGAGTGCCTAAAACTCCAGCCCCTCAGGTGGTCTCCCATCCCCTCCCTCCTCCCTCCTCCCTGCTGGGCTCTGACGTGTCCCATCTGCCGAGTTTCCCCCAACCCCCATGTCTCCCTCACTTCAGGGTTCACCGCTGGCCCCTTTGCCCAGGACACTTCCCACTGCTCTCCCGGCTCTGCCCGCCCGCAGGCACCGCCTCCTTCCCGGAGCCGCCTGATGCCCAGGCTGGACACTCTCCCGCCGAGCCCCCACCGGGCCCGTGAGCGCCCTGACCGCCTGTGCAATGGCGGGTGCTCTCGTCGGGCCCGGGAGCCTGAGAGGCCGGGCCCAGGCCCCTCCTGTGCCCAGCGGGTCTGTCCTGGCACCGGGCAGGGCCCCGCACTCCACAGGCGCTCCATCATTGGGTGACGAATGCGCGGACGGGAGGGTGGCTGTGGGCAGAGCGGGGCCACAGGGCCCTCCGAAAGGACCGGCCTCGGAGGAGGGTCCCAGGGGCCTGACTGTGGCCCCCTCCCGCGAAGCCCCCTCATCCTGGGAGGCCTCGGGCGGCTGTGACCTCCACAGCGACAGCGGAGGAGAAGGGGGAGGGAGGGAAACAGCGCCAGCACAAACAGCCCCCGCATCCTGGCTGGCCCCGCCATGCTCAGCGCTGCTCTTATTCATCCTGCCCCTCCTGCCCCTCTTACTCCCCCTTTACAGCCGGCCTGGGCCGCCTCCGCTGCCGTAAACACGGCCCCGGATTTATCCCGCCGCGCATTAACCCCTGCCCCGCGCCTCGCCAATCATCCCGCCATCACCGCGCAGACATGGCAGCTCAGCCAGCAACCAGGGCTGGGGCCGCGGGCACGGCGGCGGGGGAGCGGGCCTGGGGCAGGGGCCTGCCCCGTGGCACCTGCTGCCCTTGGCCTGGCTGGGAGCCCACGCTGACCTCGGGCCCGCCCACCCGGCCCTGCGGGTCCGCCTCCTCGCGGGCGCTCACTGGCTCCGAGACCTTGGCCTGCTACGGTCACCGGCCAAGGTTTCGGAGCAGAACACGGACAGTAATTTCCCCTCCCCCGGGGAAACTGAGGCCAGAGGGCACGCAGAGGGCAGGCAGCGGGCAGGCAGCGGGCAGGCAGAGGGCATGCAGAGGGCAGGCAGCGGGCAGGCAGAGGGCAGGGTCAAAGGCAGGGCTGGGCTTTTCCCCCCAGTCCCTGGCCCTTTCCAACTTCACACGCCCCCCCCGCCCCCCCCAATCACAGACCAGAGGCCTCTGTCAGAGAGTGGGACCTGCCCAGGCCGCCCGGCACCTGAATGTGTCTGAGGCGATGGCAGCAGACAAGGCCGAGAGGGGGGCAGGAAAGAGGGGCAGATGGAGGCGTGGGGCCCTGTGGGGCAGTGGGAGGGCTGTGGCAGTAGCTAGGCACAGGGCCCGGGGAGAGAAGCAGCTGAGGGGGAGTGGCATCTCCCCCCACCCCCATGTTGCCCCCACACTCTCAGACCACAGGAAGGGTCAAAGGTCACTCACCACCGCCGCCTCCGAGCAGGGAGCTGTTGGCTGCAAGAGAGAGAAAAGGAGGTCAGGTGGGGTGTCAGATGGGATGTCAGGTGGGGTGTCAGGTGGGGTGTCAGGTGGTGTCAGGTGGTGTCAGGTGGGGTATCAGGTGGGGTGTCAGGTGGAGCGTCAGGTGAGGTGTCAGGTGGGGTGTCAGGTGGGGCGTCAGGTGGGGTGTCAGGTAGGGTGTCAGGTGGGGTGTCAGGTGGTGTCAGGTGGGATGTCAGGTGGAATGTCAGGTGGTGTCAGGTGGGGTATCAGGTGGGGTGTCAGGTGGGGTATCAGGTGGGGTGTCAGGTGGGGTGTCAGGTGGGATGTCAGGTGGGGCGTCAGGTGGGGTGTCAGGTGGGGCATCAGGTGGGATGTCAGGTGGGGCGTCAGGTGGGGCGTCAGGTGGGGAGTCAGGTGGGGTATCAGGTGGGGTGTCAGGTGGGGTGTCAGGTGGGATGTCAGGTGGGGCGTCAGGTGGGGTGTCAGGTGGGGCATCAGGTGGGATGTCAGGTGGGGCGTCAGGTGGGGCGTCAGGTGGGGAGTCAGGTGGGGTGTCAGGTGGGGTGTCAGGTGGGGTGTCAGGTAGGGTGTCAGGTGGGGTGTCAGGTGGGGCGGTCAGGTGGGGTGTCAGGTGGGACGGGCAGGTGGGGCAGGCAGGTGGGGCGTCAGGTGGGCAGGCTGTAGGGAGGGTGGAGATGGGCTGCCAGCTGGGCCTTCAGGCTCTGGGCACAGTGTCCTCGGAAGGAGGCAGGCGAGGGGAGGTGAAGGGGCTGGGGCTCCTGTGGGCCTGGGTTTGTATGGCGGCGATGAGGGGGGCACAGCTGCCAGGGTCCTGCCTGCTGCACGTGGGGCTAGAGTGGCCGACGACCTGCAGCCACCAGTGTCCACTGCGTTCGTTCACTCACTCACTCACCCACCCATTCACTCACTCACTTATTCACTCACCCATTCACTCACCCATTCACTCACTCACTTATTCACTCACTCACTCACCCACCCATTCACTCACTCACTTATTCACTCACTCACTCACCCACCCATTCACTCACCCATTCTCTCACCCATTCACTCACCCATTCACCCACCCATTCACTCACTCACTTATTCACTCACTCACTCACCCACTCACTCACCCATTCACTCACCCATTCACCCACCCATTCACTCACCCACTCACTCACCCATTTATTCACTCACTCATTCACTCACTCACTCACTCACCCATTCACTCACTTATTCACTCACTCACTCACCCACCCATTCACTCACTCACTTATTCACTCACTCACTCACTCACTCACCGATTCACTCACTCACTTATTCACTCACTCATTCACTCACTCATTCACTCACTCATTCACTCACCCATTCACTCACCCATTCACTCACTCATTCACTCACCCATTCACTCACCCATTCACTCACTCATTCACTCACCCATTCACTCACCCATTCACTCACTCATTCACTCACCCATTCACTCACTCATTCACTCACCCATTCACTCACCCACTCACTCACTCACTCATTCCCTCACTCATTCCCTCACTCATTCTCTCACTCACTAATTCACTCACTCATTCACTCACCCATTCACTCACTCATTCACTCACTCATTCACTCACTCACTCACTAATTCACTCACTCATTCACTCACTCACTAATTCACTCACTCACTCACTCACTCACTCATTCCCTCACTCATTCACTCACTCATTCTCTCACTCACTAATTCACTCACTCATTCACTCACCCATTCACTCACTCACTCACTCATTCACTCACCCATTCACTCACTCATTCACTCACTCATTCACTCACTCACTCACTAATTCACTCACTCATTCACTCACTCACTAATTCACTCACTCATTCACTTATTCACTCACTCATTCACTCATTCACTCACTCACTAATTCACTCACTCATTCACTCACTCATTCACTCACTCATTCACTCACTAATTCACTCATTCACTTACTCATTCACTCATTCATTCACTCACTCATTCACTCACTCACTAATTCACTCACTCATTCACTCATTCATTCACTCACTCATTCAATCACTCACTCACTCACTCACCCATTCAATCACTCATTCACTCACTCATTCTCTCACTCACTAATTCACTCACTCATTCACTCACTAATTCACTCACCCATTAATTTATTCACTCACTCATTCACTCACTCACTCACTCATTCGCCCATTGGTGCCGGTGGGGATGGCGATGTGGACAAACAGGCTGCTGAAGGTCTCAGGCCGGGAGCCACTGGAACTGTGGCTGCAGCGGGCAGTGCTGAGTGTGGGGAGAACCTGAGAGGGAGGGTGAGGTAAGGGCCCGGTTTCGGGGCAGCGCAGTGAGGGCCCGGAGCACGGGGCCTGGACCCAAAGCCGGGTCAGCAGGTGGGTGACTCGAGCCACAGTCCTCTGTGCCTCAGTTTCTCCAGGGAGAATTGGCCACCTTCCAGGGTTGATGTGAAGCAAGGGAGCTCCCACCCTGGCCCCTCCCTCGACCAGAGCTGGACTGCCAGCCGCCCGGCTGCTCGGTCCACCTCGCTCTGCCCAGCTGCCCGCCCCTCCCCCCTCCGCAGGCTGACGGGGCAAAGGGAAGCGGGCAGCCTCCACCGACGTCAGGCTGTTCAAGCCAGCACCCCCCTCCCCCAGCAGCTCCAGCTCTGGCCACACAGGCGCCTGTGCCAGTGGCTGGTGGGCATCAGGGCGGGTCCCTGGCCCAGGTGCTGCCAGCTGTGCCCCAGGCCCTGGCCGCGAGCCCTGGCTCCCAGCAGACAGCTCCTGCACCCGAGGGCGCCCCCGCCTCCCTCTGTGTGAGGGGACCCCTCCCTCCCTCTGTGTGAGGGGACCCCGCCTCCCTGTGTGAGGGGACCCCGCCTCCCTGTGTGAGGGGACCCCGCCTCCCTGTGTGAGGGGACCCCGCCTCCCTCTGTGTGAGGGGACCCCACTCCCTCTGTGTGAGGGGACCCCGCCTCCCTCTGTGTGAAGGGACCCCGCCTCCCTGTGTGTGAGGGGACCCCCGCCCCCCTCTGTGTGAGGGGACCCCGCCTCCCTGTGTGAGGGGACCCCGCCTCCCTCTGTGTGAGGGGACCCCGCCTCCCTCTGTGTTGGGGGGACCCGCGGCAGAGCCGGGCGGGGCGGGGCCATTTCCGGCTGGTCGGTCGGCCGGGCGGGCGGTGCCACGGGGAAGCGCGGAGGCGCTAAGTGGTGCGGCGGCTCTGAGTGGCTGGTCTGGGGCTGACAGCTCCTCGCTCGGGAATAATTAATCCGCAGCCTGAAAACCCGGGGCTGCGAGTTGCCACGTTACTTGCCAGATTAATACGAGCAGCTAATTAAGATGGAGCGGAGCAGCGGCTGGCGCTCCCAGAGCAGGGCCGTGTGCCACGGGGACTCGGGGGCGGCGAGCAGCTGGGGCGGCTCCTGGGAGAGCAGGGGGGGCTGCGGGGACCCCAGCACACAGGCCCCAGCACACACACCCAGCACACAGGCCCCAGCACACACACCCAGCAGACAGGCCCCAGCACACAGGCCCCAGCACACACACTCAGCACACACACCCAGCACACAGGCCCCAGCACACACTCCCAGCAGACAGGCCCCAGCACACACTCCCAGCACACAGGCCCCAGCACACACTCCCAGCAGACAGGCCCCAGCACACACACCCAGCACACACACCCAGCACACACACCCAGCACACAGGCCCCAACACACACACCCAGCACACAGGCCCCCAGCACACACACCCAGCAGACAGGCCCCAGCACACACTCCCAGCAGACAGGCCCCAGCACACACACCCAGCAGACAGGCCCCAGCACACACTCCCAGCACACACTCCCAGCACACAGGCCCCAGCACACACTCCCAGCAGACAGGCCCCAGCACACACTCCCAGCAGACAGGCCCCAGCACACACACCCAGCACACACTCCCAGCACACAGGCCCCAGCACACAGGCCCCAGCACACACACCCAGCAGACAGGCCCCAGCACACACTCCCAGCACACACACCCAGCACACACACCCAGCACACAGGCCCCAGCACACACTCCCAGCACACACTCCCAGCACACAGGCCCCAGCACACAGGCCCCTGGAAGACGCTTTTTGCACGCGGAGGCCTGCTCACCAGGAAAACCCGGGAAGAGCCGCGGTCCCCATTTCAGACGGGGGATCCGGTGCCCGAGGCCCTCAGGGCGGTCCTGGCGGCTGGGAAGCTGCCCTCCACTGCCCTCCCCACCTCCCCCATCACCTCTCTCTTAATTAACGCCGGCTGCAAACAAGCTGGCTCCTCCGGAGGGCTCCCTGCCAAATGGGTTGGCAGGGAGCCTTGAAGGGGCAGGAGGGGAGGGGGCGCCGACCTGCGGCTCTGCAGGCCTCTGAGGGGGGCAGTGCCACCCCCACCTGTGTGACCCAGCCCAGGGGAGGGAACCAGGGGGACTGTCTGATGCCCGCCAGGGGCCGAGGAGCAGGCCTGGGCCGGAGGAGGCTTTCCCAGGCTGAGCCAGGAAGAGTGGGAGCCAGGCGGGGCCGCTGCACAGAGGACTGGTCACCGGCCTGTCCCCGGCTCAGCAGGTGTCCCCGAGGCTGGTCTGCAGGGCCCTCGCCCAGCCCAGCACACTCTGCAGTCCACGGGTGGGGACGCAGGGGAAGGGCAGCGACCCTGGGCCCTCCCCGCTCTCCCCTGGCCCTGTCTGGCTCTCTCCCAGGTTCCCGGCCGCCCGGCCGCCCGGACTGCCATCGGCTGACCGAGGTGCTGAGCTGGGCCAGATCCCGGGGCCAATGGCCTGGGGTTTGGGAGGATGCTGCAAAGGGGAGACAGTGCCAAAGGCACCAACGGGCACCCCTGGGTGTGCCCCCAGCTTCCGATGCCGCCCTGCGCCTCCGGCTCCTGCCCCGCCTGCTGCCGCCCTCTGCTCCCCGCAGTTGGGTTTTGGGCTCCAGTAGCAACGGGGGATCAGCCCATTTCCCGGGCGAGGATGAGCCCCGG